GTGCCAAACAATTTCGGCCATGACTGTATATCTAATAATCAGGGTACAAGGTGCATGAAATATTAACCTTTTTCATGTGCTGCCAAGAAATCACATTACTCCACTCAAAACCAAACTTCTGTATATATCTGATATCAGTATCCAGTTTAGATGTACCATACTATTCGTACTGTTTTATAAGGTTGGCCATACATTATACAATTTTCTATCCATCAACCACAGTTTGAAGGAAAGAAAGTTGCTTCCCCTTCAATACAGTTAGTGTTGATGGGGGAATCCCTCCCGCTGTTCAATTGTATTCTGTCAGTAGGAAGTTTCCCAGCCATCACCAATTCACAAAAAGAACATTGGGGAACTGGAGAAAGTATAGAGAAGGGCAACCAAACTGATAAGAGGCATGGAGGAGCTCAGCTATGAGGAAAGATTAGAGGAACTGAATTTATCCTCTCTTGAGAAGAGGAGATTAAGGGGGGGATATGATCACCATATATAAATACATCAGTGGTCCATATAGCGAACTTGGTGTAGAGTTATTCACCCTGAGGTCAACGCATAGGACAAGGGGGCACTCTTTACGTCTGGAGGAAAAGAAATGTAATCTCCAAACACGGAAAGGTTTCTTCACAGTGAGAGCTGTGAAAATGTGGAATAGACTCCCTCAAGAGTTGGTTCTGGCCAGCTCAGTGGATTGCTTTAAAAAAGGCCTGGATTCTTTCCTAGATACACAGAATATAACTGGATATAACATTTATAGGTAAAGTTGATCCAGGGAATATCTGATTGCGTCTCGGGGGATCAGGAAGGAATTTTTTCCTTGCAGGAGCAAATTGGATCATGCTTTGCTGGGTTTTTTTTTTGCCTTCCTCTGGATCAACTGTGGGTACAGGATTATAACTTTTTTTTTTTAATGGTTGAACTGTATGGACTTTTGTCTTTTTTCAGCCAGACTAACTATGTAACTATGTAATTTTATCAGAATACAGTGATCACTGCCAGCAGCTATAGCAGCTTGAATTTGTTAGTCATGTCCATCTAAATCTGCTAGCCTAACACTACCCTCTCCCCAGACTGACAATGCTACTGTCCAAAGGTGTCTGCTTTACTACTTCCTCCAGAATGCAGACACCTTAAGCCAGGGTTCACATATATGCGGTGTGGTACATCGCATGTGATTCGCACAGGAACTGCACCGCATTCCTGTGCAAATCACATGTGATTTGTGTGCGGTGCGATTGGAGCCAAACATTTTGTATGGCTCCAATCGCACCGCAAAAAAAGGTGCAGGACCCTTTTTTTGGTCCACACTAGAATCGGATCGCATGGGTATTCACACCTATGTGATCCGATTCTGCACATTGCAACACGTTTTGCGGATCACTTTCAGGGTGTTATTAACTTAACATACACACCCGCAGCGGTTCGCATGATTAGGTTGCTATTCTGATGCGGTGCAGAATTCACAAAGAAAAAACTCTGCGAATTCCGCACCGCATTGGTGTGAACCAGGGCTTAGACTGGATCACCAAGTAAAATAAAGGGAAAAGGTCTAAACAAAAAAACCAATGCAGCCACCACATCTAAGGATTAGTAAATAGCAAGATGTTAATTTTCGTTTTTGGGTTTGATGCTGTTTAACATAATGTCTGACATTCTGTATGTGACCCCATGGTAAGTGTGGGTTTGTACTTAAGTCTGTATGTAAGGCCATCATTATCTATCTTATAAAATATTTAGGTTCTCTATTCACTCCTGAATTTACTGTCACTAATGGCAATAGCACCAAAGTCGATCTATTCACTATCTCAACCTAATTTTAAGAGAATGTTGTATTTTTCTGTACTTTTTTTTCAGCAATCTCACATTGAATTTTAAAATCATGTCTTTATATTGGTTGTTCAGCACAGATCACCACACCATGATCAACAAAATTAGGAAGGAAATATCTTGGTTGCGATTGCGAATTTTGTTTCCTGTTTGTCAATTCACACATATGGTGTGTGAGGTCTGCTGCAACACAAACTGAAGTTTAAATTTCATTCTGAATACTTTGCTTGCTATATAGTTTTAAGTATATACAGTATGTAGCATTTCAGTTAGCCTGAGGTTGTAATTGCTAGCCAAAAATACGAGAGGGCAGTTAGATGTGCGTGCTCTAAATCTTTTAGTTGCCTTGCACATAAACTGAATGCCTGGCTCAGCTGACCATTCCTTTTTGTGCCTAAGAAGGAGACTTCTCAAGTGGGAGGATGGGGGAAAATACCCTTCAGACAAGGTTTCCAATCCTGTATGATTACACTTTCTCTCATTCAAAATAAATAAAAAGCGGTTTTCATTGGAAATTGTTTTTTAATAAAGTGAAATTGGCTTGAGTTCTTTTTTAACCTTGTTTATTTCACATGAGAACAAAGTTCTGTTGATAGATACCCTTCCCACCCAACCACTGGTGGTGAGGGGCCCCAGCTTCTTTCTGGTGGCCGGCATATGCAGCTGGGTCCTCCCTGTACATATAGCATATCAGGGCATCATGTTATGTTCAAAACCACATACTGTTCTTGTGAATGGATGCCGATTCTAGACCTTTCCTTCTCATCCTGGTCACTGCACACATTAACCCCTTTATATGTGGAATATTCTGACATATGCCTATGTTTCACCTGTGGTTCAGAAGGAAGGTCCAGAAGTCCAACCTTCCACCCGTGGCTCATAAAACATGAGGCCTGGGCCACCTGATGCAAGCTATATAAGGGGATATTGTCTCACTATCAAGCAGGTGACTCTTTTTCTTTCATCGCTACCCTCTCCAGATCTGACCACGCTTGCACCAATAAAATACATCTTCAGTCTCCCAAGCATTTCCTGTATTCTGTAATTCTGTATAAATCTTACGTTACTGTATTAGAGCATCACACTGAGGCTATTTATTGCAGCAAAACTTCTTTTACTGATAACACATTTCACAGAACAGTCTTTTCCGGGGGGGAGGGGGGAGTGCTGTAAAGGGAATTTAGGTTTTGATATGGTATTCGTGTTTTGTATTTTGGTCCTATTTTTTATGTATCAAGATGTCCTTTTTTTTTGTACTAGAAAAATTTAATAAATATATATATATATATATATATATATATAAAACAAAGAACAGTCCTTTCCAATGGTAAGTAGACATGTGCAATTTATTTCAGTATGAATGGAAATTCAGACTAGGTTTTCTTTATTTGGAGATTCGGAAGTATCCAAATCTCTGAATGACAATAGTAACAAATTTCAGCGTATCCGAAATAAATAATAACAAAACAACAAATTAATTCATATTCATTAATTTCATTTGGATGACATGATGCGATAATTTGGGCCTTTTGTTAATGTTTGAAGCATCCGAAATAATGTAACGACATAATGAATGACCTGAATTTCTGATCCATGTTGTTTTTATTTTGCATTAACATTTTTCATTATTATAAAAAAAAAATGCACTATATATGAAATGGAAACATATTGCAATAAATACAGTAGGCTATAAAAGTGAAAAAGGGTGATGATTCCTACATATTGTGTTTGGGTTGGATGGATGGAGATGGATCCATCAGAATCTCCGAATCATAACATAACAAATGAATCCAAAATTAATTTTGTTCCATTCGTTCTGTCAGATATTGTCCAATCAGCTCATTCCATTTCTCTTTGTAATGAATGAACATAACAAAAGAATCCAAAATTAATTTAGTTCCATTTGTTCTTTCGGATATTGTCCAGTCAGCTCGTTCCATTTCTCTCTGTAATAAATTAACGTAATGAATGAATCTGAAATTAATTTTGTTCCATGCTTTCTTTCGGATATCGCCCAATCAGATCATTCCATTTCTCTTTGTGGTTTGGACTAGCAGGGATGACTCAGGATGCATAAGCAATCTGCATTTTAACACGTTAAAATGATAATCTCTGCCAATTCATTTTTATTTTGCATTAATATTTTTCATTTTTATAAAAAATGTACTAGATATTAAATAGAAACATATTGCAATAAATACAGTAAGGTATAAAAGTGAAATTGGAAGATGATTCCTACTTATTGTCTTGGGTTGGATGGAAGTGGATCCATCAGAATCTCCAACATAACGAATTAATCCAAAATTAATTTTGGTCCATTCGTTCTTTCAGATATTGTCCAATCAATTCATCCCATTTAAGGTATTCACAACCCATATTAAGTCCATAAAGGCAATGTCCCCGAAGGGGAGGGAAGCCTAAGCACCCTTCAGCTGTTCTCTCTCTTCTGTGGTGCCAGGCAATCTCCTTCATCTCCAAGCTTCTCCTACTTCTAAAGGGGCACCCCACGTCACAACGCTACTTGGAGGAGGGGCAACCCTTAAAGGAACCTCTACCTGCCTACACACTGATACTTAACTTTAAAATGCTTCCCCACCACTTGATTTGCCTGAAGAAGTATAATCCCTGTATGAGCACAGTCAGTGTTTGAGTTTTCAGAGGGATAAAGTCCATTATGTGACAGTGTTGGAGCCTAGTGAATGGCAGTTCAGGACCAAGGTCTGCATTTTGAGAGGAAATGGAGAATACACAAGTTCCTTCATACCTGGAATTCTTGGGTATTTATTGCTCCCATAGGTGAGTGGAACAGCAAAAATGTGTAGTGAAGGTAAGTGTTAGTGGGTAGGAGGATGCTCTTTCCATCCTGAATTAGAAAAGTAACAGATTATTGATAAAGGCCCTCTTAATATTATTATTTGCTTTTTTTCAATAATGAAGTGCTGAAGTGGTAACAGTTACAGTGCACAATACAATGCAAGTGAGAATACTGCTTGACATGACACTTTTGCATTACTGTTTCCTACTGTATAAAGGCCATTATTCTACCTACGCACCACATGACTTGGACTGAACATCAAGAGCAGAAAGATGATTTGGTAAGACCTTCTTCTAAGGTGAGCTTGTTTGATGTTGTATGAAACATTGCACATTTCCATCACTTACCCATTGTTTGAATCCATGAATTTCCTTATGTGCTCTTTTCCTCCATTATTAACTACTAATCCAAGTAACTCTAGAGCATTGTATACTTCAATTTCATTAAGAAATCTACGAAAGAAAAGAAATGTGATTGATTTCAGGAATCTTCACAGTGATATCAAACACACAAGGCTTACAGCACCTGGTAGCCCCAGGCGGTCTCCCATCCAAGCACTAACCAGGCCAGAACCTGCTTAGTCTCTAAGATCAGGCAAAGTCAGGGACATTCAGAGCAATGTGGCTATGGGTAAGACTTGGAAATGTAAACAGATAACCAATATAAAACAGTATCAAGAAATATATCAACTGTACAGATTACTAATGAAACAATTCAAGTCCAGATCTACATTGAGACCATTAGGGATCAAAGTGTTAGCTCTATAGATCCAAAAATTTCTCTCTTGGATAAATTTGTTTTGAAATTTCCACCTGGCCAGTGCCTTAAGGTCTTTTTGATTTCCCAAAATTGATACCTTTAACCACCTCCCGTCCAATGACGGGCGCAAGGTGGTTCTCTCGTTCTGATAGGACGTCATATGACGTCCTGCCATTCTCACCGCGCATGCGCGGCTCAGGGAGCGTGCAGCGCGGTGATCGGTGGTGCTCTGTGTCCCTCGGACACAGGGGATCACCGGTCATGGAAAGAGCCAAAGATGCACAAGTCGGTCATGTGATCAGCTGTGTCCAATCACAGCTGATCACATGTAAACAGGGAAATGCCGGTTATCGGCATTTCTCTCCTCTCGAGCTGTCACGCTGACAGCTCGTGAGGAGAGGAGAGCCGGTAATCAGCTTTCCGCGGAGGGGACATGTACACTGATCATCATGGCACGGATGATCAGTGTGCCCTGATGATCAGTGTGGCCCCAGAAGTGCCACCTGTCATAGTCCATCAGTTCCAGCTGAACAGTGCCACGTGCCAGTGCCCATCAGTGCCACAATGCCACATATCAGTGCATACCAGTGCACATCAATGCCACAAATCAGTGCCCATCTGAGCTGCCCTTCAGTGTCACCCATTAGTGCCAGTCAGTGCCACCTATCAATGACAATCAGTGCCACCTATCAGTGCCAGTCAGTGCCACTTATCAGTGCCAGTCAGTGCCGCCTATCAGTGCATGTCAGTGCCACCTATCAGTGCCAGTCAGTGCTGCCTATCAATGCCAGTCAGTGCCACCTAAGAGTGCCAGTCAGTGCCGCCTAACAGTGCCAGTCAGTGCCGCCTATCAGTGCCGCCTATCAGTGCTGCCTTTCAGTGCCCATCAGTGATGCCTGTCAATGCCCATCAGTGCCACCTACCATTGCCTCCTCATCAATGCCCATCAGTGCCACCTATAAGTGTCCATCAGTGCATCTTATCAGTGCTCATCACTGCAGCCTCATTAGCGTACATCAGTGAAGGAGAAAAATCACTTATTTACAAAATTTTATAACAAAAACTAAGAAAAAACTTTTTTTTTCAAAATTTTCAGTGGTTTTTGGTTTGTTTAAGAAAAAATAAAAAACCCCGAGGTGATTAAATACCACCAAAATAAAGCTCTATCTGTCACAAAAAAATGATTAAAATTCCATATGGGTACAGTGTTGCATGACCGCGCAATTGTCATTCAAAGTGTGACAGCGCTGAGAGCTGGAAATTGGCCTGGGCAGGAAGGGGGTACAAGTGCCCTGTAGGCTAGTGGTTAAGGGTCCTTGTTTTGATGTAATTGAAAATGCTTGGTTAACTAATGGCCTTTAAAGCCCCTTTTTATATTGCTGTCCAGTGATTCTGTTCTTTTTTTCTACTGTTTTTAAGCGAGTGTAACCAATTTTGTGCAAAAGTTTAATAATGGGATTACGCTCTATGGGCCTTTCTTGCCATTACATTTACATGTGTTAGCACACCAGATATTGGGTCTTAAAAGTGTGGAGGAGAGGTGTGCAATAAGGAGGACTAAAAGTCCCAGCAATCCCAAGACATCTGAAGCCTCCCTGCAGTGTGGAGGAGAGCTGGCCAGCAAGGAGGACTGCACGTCCCAGCAATGCTAAGATATTTACAGTTTACTGCCAGTGTAGAGGAGCAGTGACCAGTAGGGAGAACTACAAGTTCCAGTAACCCCAAGATATCTGCAGGAAAAATGCATATGACTTCTAGCATTGCACGTTAGAGTCCACAGCTGTTGGTGAGTGTGGAAACACAGGAGTGGAGCATGATATTCTGATTTCTGCACCAGTATTGGAAGATTATACATTTACTATTTATAGTGGAATACACCTTGTTTACACTTTGAAATTTAAGCAAGATGATTATGGTCATTAGTTATTTTTTATGAATTTTACGGTCTTTTTTGGTGGTTTATTATCATATGTTTAGTAGTGGGCAGCGCTTTGTTATTTATATATTCAATTATGAGGGCTTATACCTGTTATTAGCAGCAGGCTACACACACTTATTTTGCTTTATTCATTTTTCTATGTATATATTGCATATTTAATTTTTTTTTTATATTATTCGCACTGTAACCATGGTGGTGAAAGTGAATATCCGTGCAAAGTTTAGTATATATCACAAGTTGTATGGGATTACTACATTCACAATTTTTGGGGCTTTTACTGTTTTAGGCTAGGTTCACACTTGAGCGGGTTTACAGCATGCATTTCCTGCCAAAAAGACGGTGCCCACTCCATACGATTTCCCTGCAGTTCCCAGTGAAGTGACTGACCTCAGGTGATACACAGAGATGAAACAAATCCTCCTACATACGTTGTATCTGTTTATCTGCATCCATCTTTCTACTACATCCATTCAAAGTGCAGAATTTGCTCAGGATCTCTCAGCTTGGATCAGAATCAGCACTGTCAAATGATCTGGACAAGTCATCCACACGGACATTTTTGGAACCAAGCCGGAAGGTAATGTTGAAATTAAATCTGGCAAAGAAGAGAGCCCATCTTTCTTGTCTGGGGTTCAAACACCGGACGCACTGGAGATACTGGAGGTTCTTATGATCAGTATAAATTAGAATGCGATGTGGGGATCCCTCCAGCAGATGTCGCCAATCCTGCAGTGCCAGCTTGATTGCCAGCAATTCCCGATCACCAATAGTGTAATTCTTTTCAGCATCCGAAAATTTCTTAGAGTAGAAGGCACAAGGACGAAGCTTACCATCATGCATTTGGAGCAGGACGGCCCCACTCCCAAAGATGAAGCATCTACCTCCCAGAAAAAATGCTGAAAAATGTCCAGATGAATGAGAATCAATGCAGAGAGAAATGTGGATTTTAGTCTGTGGAATGCGTCGACTGCCTCAGAAGGCCAGGTTCTGGAATTGGAACCCTTTCGAGTCAAATAAGTGATTGGGGCCACCAGTGAAGAATAGTCAGGAAGGAACTGGCGATAGAAGTTAGTGAATCCCAAGAAGCGCTGTGTAGCTTTCAACCCAGAGGGCTGAGGCCAATTGGAGATGGCTTGGAGTTTAGCAGGATCCATAAGCAGCCCTTTATCTGTGACTATGTAGCCTAGAAAAGGAACCTGGGTTTGTTCGAAGAGACACTTCTTCAACTTTGCATACAGGCGGTGGTCCCGAAGAACAGGAGAACAGTACACATGTGCTGATGATGAGTTTCTTAATGTAGAGTAAAAATGAGTATGTCATCCAGATAGACAATGACACAAACATACAAAAGATCAGAAAAAATGTCATTACCAAAGTTCTGAAAGACGGCTCAAGCATTACACAAGCCGAAGGACATTACAAGATATTCATAGTGCCCGTCTCTGGTATTGAAAGCTGTTTTCCACTCATCACCCTCATGGATCCTAACCAGAATGTATGCTCCATGGAGATCTCGCTTAGTGAAAATTCGAGCATCTCGGAGTCTGTCCAAGAGTTCAGAAATCAGAGGTAACGGGTACGGGTACCGATTCTTAACGGTGATAGCATTGAGACTGCTATAATCCGTGCAGGGTCGTAGCGTACCATCTTTTTTCTCCACAAAAAAGAATCCAGCCCCAGCTGGAGAATTGACTTACGGATAAATCCTTTCTGCAAATTCTCTGCAAATTCTCCTGGACGTATTAAGACATGGCTTGAGTCTCAGGAATGGAGAGAGGGTAAACTTTACCTCTTGGTGGAGAAGACCAGGTTGGAGGTCAATAGCACAATCATAAGGACGGTGAGGTGGCAAAGAGCCAGCAGCTTTCTTACAAAAGACATCTTGGAAGGCCTGATAGTGCGGAGGGAGGTCCTAAGGCCAAGATAGAGCCATCAACTGCAGATACTGATAGGGGTGTCATCAAGGGAACACGAGGAATGCCCAATTCAGCGGCCAAGGATTGTTCGATGAAATTTCCGGCTGCCCCAGAGTCCACATAAGCTGAAACCTGATACGAGTTCAGAGCCCAATGGATGGAGACAGGTATAACAAATCGAGGGAAGGAAGTGGAGTTCAGGTTCTGGTCTAGATCTCCTCCCTCAAAGTGTTTACCAGACGGACCGAACAAGACTTAATTACATGACCCTTAGCCCCACAGTAAAGGCATAGACCAAGTCTTAGGCGACGCGATCGCTCTTGTGGAGTGAGGCGTGTTCGGCCTAACTGCATTGGTTCCTCGGAAGTCGGCCCAGCTGCTGAGGTAGGTGGTTCAGGGAATTTGTGGAAAACAGGAGCCAACGAACCCACTTGGGAGTGATGTGAACCAGACTTTTCCAGCTCTCGTTCCTGGAAGCAGACATTGATTTGGATGCTAAGAGCAATCATCAAGTCATGCAGGACGGTGGGTATGTTTCTTCTGGCTAATTCGTCCTTAATACAGTCTGATAGACCTTGCCAAAAGGTTGCAGAAAGGACCTTATTATTCCATGCAAGTTCCGAAGCCAAGGTGCGAAACTGAACTGTGTACTGACCAACTGTCATGCTACCTTGGCGTAGCCGAAGAAGGGCCCCCGCAGCAGATGAAGTCCTGCCGGGCACATCAAAGGTTTTCTGGAAAGCTTGCTGGAAGGCTGGGAGACTGGAGATAGTGGGGTCTTGACGCTCCTACGGTGGTGTGGCCCAAGCCAGTGCTTCACCTGAAAGGAGGGAAATCATCTATGCCACCTTGGAACGATCAGTAGGGAAATGATCGGCTGCTAGTTCAAAATGAATAGAGCACTGATTGATGAAGCCTCGACAAGCTTTGGGATCACCAGAGAAGTGAGGCGGTGGAGGCAGCTGGAGTCTCGAAGGATGGTGTTCCACTGGGGGAACAGCGGAAGGTTGAACAGCAGGAGCCGGAGCAGGGGCCGGAACAGAAGCCGAAGCAGAGGGTGAGGAAGTGGACACAGCCTGTAGCTGATCCAACCGGGAGGAGAGTTCCTGCAGACAGTGCACAATCTGTTCTTGATAGGCCTGCTGGACATTGACTCTCTGCGCCAAACCCTGAAGTTGTTCCAGGAGAGGCCACGGTGTCTCTGAGGAGCTCATGGCCTGAGTAAACTGTCAGCACCTGTGGTAGTGAGCTCTTGATCCACAACTTGGGGTTCCCCAGGGTGCGGAGTCTAAGCCTGCTTATTCATCAGGGCCCCTGATGGTGGGGATGGACTTGCAGCAGGCTGGGACCAGGTCACGGCCCCCCGGTATACCCAGCTGAGGTAGAGGAGACCGCTAGCGGGAGCAGGGTACAACGGGAGAAGACACAGGGAATCCAGTAGGCAAGCCGAGGTCAGGACAGGCGGAAAACAAGCAGGGTCAGGAACAGAGGCAGACTGACAACTCATGGGGCCCACGGGCAAATAGGGGATCATGGGGCCCCTGTGTCCTTGCCCAAACTCAAAAAAGCCTATGAAAAAGGTACCAGAGGCATCTCATGGGGCCCCCTACTGACCCCGGGCTCTCGGGCAGTGCCCGAGTTTCCAAATGGTCAGTCCGCCCCTGGTCAGGAACGAAGCCGGGGTCGGTACACAGATAGACTATATAGGATTCATAGTAGTAACACAAGGGAGCTCCAACAACAAGACGTTGCTCAGGCAAAGCTGTACAGACTGAGCATGTCTTAAATAGACAAGCCAGCTGGGAGGCGGCCCAGGAAGTGATAGAAGGGAAGGACATAAAGCCCAGAGGATAGCAGACGACGCCCACAGGTGAGCACAGACAAACACACATGTGAAGGAATCAAGAGCAGCAAAGAGGTAAGAATAAACACACAAGAGGCTGCAGGCTAACTTGTGACAGAAGCAGTTTTTGTCTGTTCAGGGTTTCCTAAGCTGGGTATTTGATTCCTCCCCCTGCTACTGGTAGAAGCTTCCAGAATATAGTGCAGGGACAGTTAAAGTATGGCCAATATGAATATTTATCATGCCCCAGCCAATCCCTGGAAGGAGGCTTCCAAAAGGTGGCTGGGGAGGTGATAAATGTTTGGGAGGCCTTTCCAGAGTGTTCTTTCTTCTCCAGGGAGAGCTCTGGTTCCTCTGGGACTGCTGCCCTAGGGAGATAGCTAATGAGACATACATTTGCAGCCTGGGCCTCAGAATTAGCTGGACTGAGGACCTGGAGAAGATTGCTAAGAGATTCTTTGCTGAAGGACAATGTCCTGAAATTTGGATCTGTAAAAGGATCTTTTATGTCCCTTACTGAGGATCTACCTGTGGATGCTGGGTGTCAGATAGCTCCTGGGACATTGTGGGTAAGACCTTGTTTGGGACTGTAGTGTGTGCCTGCTCCTGTAAGGATTTTCAACTAAAAAGCTTGTTCTCCCATGAATTGCTGTTATCGTTTTGTGACCTTACACCTCTCTCCTGTTAAAGCGCAGCAATAAATAATAAAAAGACATTCCCTAGACAGGGCCATTATTGTTAGTGTGCGTGAGATTGTGCTTGTGACTGGCAGCCTCTGTGCCAGCAAGGAAGATCCTCAGGGGGTAAGTGCTACATGCGTTCCATGGCTAAACCTTGTCACTTCCCCATTCTATGCTTAGTAGATGCTGAGGGGCTAAACCACTTAATTGTTTTGCATCTCTAAAAGATTATCTAAGATATCTACAGTTGAGTTCCTTGGTCTGCACATATGCTGTGGCATTTTATGAAAGGGTTTATATTGTCCATGATGGATTTTTTACATTTATTTTATATTAGAGCGATCTACAAAAGAGTAATTGGAAAATGCAAAGTGGATGCCCAAATATGGCCGGTGATCCCTCTGTTGAAGTATGAAAGATATAAGAAGCCAGACTCTACCAGACTACACCTATACCTAAAATACTAATTTTGAGTGAGCTGACTATGCATGAAAATGCATCTAGCATCTGTTCTAGGTTGTGTTATTGCTGGGATAAAATGGCCGAAACCATACACCACTTCCTTCTACTGCTGTTAGACCACACAACTAGCAAGGAGACAAATGTTTATTAGCTCTGATTGACAGCACATGTCTTGGGAACTAGGCACTTACCTGAAGTTCACCAACACTAGGTATGCAGAGGGAGGAGGTGTGTCACATTCCCTGTTTCACCCCTTCTATCTTTTCCTTTGACCACAGGATGCAGGCAGCTGGGCCAAACAGTGTCATTGTTTGCTAGGATGCAGACGTCTGAGCCACATAGCATCATTGGTTGCTAGGACACAGGCGACCAGACTGCACAGCACCTCTGGTTATTAGGATACAGGCAGTCAGATGGCACAGCATCATACTTTTCCAAGGTGCAGGTGGTCAGTTGCCTGCACCACAACAGCCAAAGAGGCTGTGTGGCCTGGCTGCCTGAATCCTTACAGCCAATGATGCTGTGTGGCCCAGACACCTGTGTCCTAACAAGCCCTGTGCAGCCTGGCTGCCTACATCCTAGTGAACAATGAAAAGACAGAAGGGGCAGAACAGAACTGGGTGGGCTACCCCAGATGCCCTTACTGCACTGGGGGCAATGGCAACTGAGCTTAATGTTAGTTATGCCCACAAATCAAGCTGCCATCGGGGAAAAAAGCAGGCTTCTTTTATTGGAGAGTCTAATACAGGTATTTAGACATGAATGTATGGACCTATTTTTAATTTTGTAATGCTCATAAGAGTTTTTCTTTAAGTTTGAACCAAGGTGGTCAAAAGAAATCTGTGGTCCCAAATGTGTTGGAATTGTGTACTTACTGTATATATGTGTATCACCCTCATAGTCAGTTGGGGGGGCTAGACTCCAATTTTAGCAAGGACGGCTGAGTAGCAACCTGGGTGTGATAGCTAGCAGGGGTCAAATTATGGTCAGAGCTGAGAGGCTCTGCAGACCAGCCCTCTGGAATTTCCCTCTGCTCTATAATTTTGGAGAAAGGTCTAGAAGCAATGGGTGGATCTGAGGAGTGGCTAGTCTTTACTCTTGAAGGATCCTGGCCAATCCCCAACAGGAGGCTTGGTAAGGGGCCAGGACAACCTTTAAGAGCAACGGAGCTTGCTCAGCAGCAGGAGAGTTCAGGTGGAAAAGGAAGATGTGAGGCTGAGGAGCAGGAGCCTGGAAGGGAGCCCAGATGGGAGGGGGGCTCCCTTCCAGGCAGAAATACCTGGGAAGGCTGAAAGTTTAGGACTTCATTGGCCCCCCGAGAGAGGACCATTTGTGTGGCAGGGAAGGAACGGCCCAGCTAGAAGGTCTGGTAGCAGCCACCAACCCAACAGCAACACAGGAGAAGGACTTAATGAGTACACCTGCACCCCCTGCGCCAGATAGGGGAAGGAGGCACTCTAGTTGGAAGCTGGATTAGCTTGCCACCAAAGACTGTTTCAATATTTACGTGGCAGACACTGGATCCGCTGCTCAGGGATTCCTCGAGACAGCTGGGAAAAGAAGAGGAAGTACTACAGGAGATGCTGGCTAGCTCTCCAGAAGAGACCGATGTCTGTAACCACTGAACATAGTTCAGGACGGTTTTCCTCTGTTTCTCAGTTCAATTGGGCGTCCCGTACACCCCTTACCCTATCCAAATTGAAACCCCTCTAATAAATATCAAAAAACAAGCTCAAGGACTGGTTACTGATTCCTGAGTACAAGTTGGTGTGGAAATGTGTGTTGCCTGGCTGTGCAGAACTATAGGGGGACCCAACACTTTAGCAACTCCTAAAGAGGTAGTGCTACATATGGTATTTCACTTACCCAGTGTTACTTGAATTTACACATTTGAAAACAAGCTCTAAATCTTTTGTGTTCTTTATTGATGCCCTTCTCTCTGTATCTTCAACCGAATTTGACATGACAGCTATTTGATGTCCATTCCCCCATTCTTGAAGAGCTGACAGCAGCTAAGATGAAGAAGAAAATCAGTAGCATTAAATAAAATGATAAGCAACTCTAAGATAACATTTTAGGATATTAAATGTCATTATGGAGTTCCATGGCCAAGGTCCCTTTCATGTTAATGTTATGTTAATTTAGCAAAGTTTTTAAAAGATTTTTAATATACAAGTTTACTTTAAAAGGACTATTTTTTCCTTATTGTTTTCTACAAATATAGGCATGCACATTTTTATGAACAACTATAACATAAAATACATCATATTTGTATTATGTCAGTTGCCTATTGTATTTAGTTTTTGGCGTTACTTGTTTGTTATGACTATTTTTATAATGAGATGGCTACTGAAAGGGTACTATGTTAAAGGGAGGGCTAGTGTCATTATTAGTGCAATGATTAAGGTTACAGGGTGTCAGGTGCAGGTAAAGTTCCGCGGCGCACAAATATGCACGCAAATATGCTCATGCGCAGTCCTTGCGAACCAAACAGATGTGCAGTTGCTTGGACATAGGTGCTCACACGTGTGCGCGCGCATGCGCACTCGCGCATACAGGTGCGTGCTTGTCACTAATGCTGGTGCCAAAAGGCCTATTTAAACTGGCTGCAGTAGTTGTCCCATTGCCATATGGTCTTATCCCTGCTTGTGTTCCCTGATTCCTGTGATTGTCTCCCGATACTGAACCGGCTTGTTCCTGACCTCCGCTTGACCACTACCTGCCCTGACCTCTGGCTTGCCTTGGATTACCCTTCTGTCTCGGCTCCTGCCTTCCGCTGCTGAAATGGCCTGTGACCTGACTACTCTTCCTCCTGCCGCTTAAGCCTGATCTGTCTGACCAATACCGAACCCGACTCGTCTGACCCTGCATCCTCAGTACACTGTTCTCGGGTATCCATCCATCCAGTACGGCTGCATCAGAACCCTGCTTCCTGTCTCCGGCCTACAACACATCCGCTTACCAGCTATTACTGGACTGATCACAGGCATTCATACCCCACCGTGCCCCTGCGGCCGCTGTCTCACCATCAGCGGTCCTTGAGCTGGAGTCAGGCTCACTATCCAGGTGCGTGACACAGGGAGGGGTTAGTGTTAGGTTTTTAGAGAGAATTAGTGTGAGGGTTTGTATAAGTGTTGAGAGAGAATTAGTGTGAGGGTTTGTATAAGGGTTGAGGTTACAGGGAGGATTAGTGTTAGGGTTATTAGGAGGATTAGTGTAGGGGTAGGGTTACAGGGAGGATTAGTTTTAGGGTTATTAGGAAGATTAGTGTAAGAGTAGGGTTACAGGGAGGATTATTGTTAGGGTTACTAGGAGGATTAGTGTAGGGTAGGGGGTTACAGGGTAGGATTAGTGTCAGGTTAGGGTTACTAGGAGGATTGGTGTAGGGGTAGGGTTACAGGGAGGATTAGTGTTAGGGTTATTAGGAGGATTGGTGTAAGGGTAGGGTTACAGGGAGGATTAGTGTCAGGGTTACTAGGAGGATTGGTGTAGGGGTAGGGTTACAGGGAGGATTAGTGTTAGGGTTACTAGGAGGATTGGTGTAAGGGTAGGGTTAGGGTTACAGGGAGGATTAGTGTCAGGGAGGATTAGTGTCAGGGTTACTAGGAGGATTGGTGTAGGGGTAGGGTTTACAGGGAGGATTAGTGTTAGGGTTACTAGGAGGATTGGTGTAAGGGTAGGGTTACAGGGAGGATTAGTGTCAGGAGGATTGGGTTACTTACAGGAGGATTGGTGTAGGGTAGGAGGATTGGTGTACAGGGTAGGACAGGGAGGATTAGTGTCATACTAGGAGGATTGGTGTAGGGGTAGGGTTACAGGGAGGATTAGTGTCAGGGTTACTAGGAGGATTGGTGTAAGGGGTAGGGTTACAGGGAGGATTAGTGTCAGGGTTACTAGGAGGATTGGTGTAAGGGGTAGGGTTACAGGGAGGATTAGTGTCAGGGTACTAGGAGGATTGGTGTAGGGGTAGGGTTACAGGGAGGATTAGTGTCAGGGTTACTAGGAGGATTAGTGTAGGGGTAGGGTTACAGGGAGGATTAGTGTCAGGGTTATTAGGAGGATTAGTAGTGTAAGGGAGGGGTTGCAGGGAGGATTAGTGTTAGGGTTATTAGGAGGATTAGTGTAAGGGTTGGGTTGCAGGGAGGATTCTTTTGAAGGTTTCCGGGAGGGTTACTGCGGGGGGGTTTGTGTAATGGTTAGGGTCCCAGGGAGGATTAATGTAGGGGTTATAAGGAGGGTTAGTGTAAGGTTTAGGGTTATAAATAAATGAACATAATATACATATTAAGTTGTTGAAGTTGATTCTGGAATTCTTGATTGAGACAGCGTTGGTTTTAAGGAAAATAGTTTTTATAAAGAGGATTAGATTACTGTAAGGGTAACAAGGAAGGTAGAGAGACCCAAGAGACCTTTCTTTGTGGTCCTAGTTCTTTAAGAACTCCTTTATACATATCATTTTTTATTTTGGTAATTTCAGTATTAGCAACTAGTCTAGAGATGAAAGCATATATATGGACAACAGTCAAAATCATATATTAAGTTCCACATTGTATTTGAATTATTACACTATTAATCTAATTAAAGCAGTAGTAAACTGCAGTAAAGGGGAAAAAAAAGTCCCCTGCAAGGTAATGCATCACATACTAGCACACATTATGTAAAACTTACCTTAAAATGAAGCCCTCCAGTGGCGTGCTATCACCGCTGTAGAGGATTCCATCTTCACCCATCTTCCTTCCAGGTTTTCAAGCTCCGGCAATCTGACAGGCCGGACCGCGATGACGTCACTCCCGCACATGCACGTGGGAGTCCCGGGCCATGACACACAGCTCTGAAGGAATGGCATGGATATGCTGTTCCTTCAGAGCGCGTGCGCAGGTTTAAAAAAAGAGAGAATATCTCCTAAACGGCGCACGTTTAGGAGATATTCATTTTACCTACAGGTAAGCTTTATTATAACCTTAACTGTATGTAAAATTAAAAAAAATAGTTTACTGCCACTTTAAGCTTGAACTTTGTAAACTTCACAACATCCCCACACATTTATTTCCTTGAATTCTGTGACACGTACAGTAACCACTATGAGCTGTGAGTAGGCAGTGATAGAGTTACACTTGTCTTCTGAGAAGGAAGTGCTTTTTGCTGGGATTTAAAGTGCCATACACATGGTTTTTATGTAAGTGCAATTTTAAGTGTTTTTTTACCTAATAAGTAAGGTGTTACGCTATGGAAGTTTCCCAGTGGTGGAGGAGTACTGTGGATGTTCTGGAGGAGTTTTCGCAAACGATTGGTCTAGAGGCGTTTCCATATATAGAGTCCGTCATCAGCGTGTAGAGGTATCAAGACCACACAAACGGCCAACTTTCCTGCAGGAGAGCGCTGCAACATCTAATGCAATATTTTACCTACCATTCAAAGTGGTTAGTTATCTGTGGTGAGTGGGGCTCTGGAGGGGGAGCACTAATTGGAGCACTACGCACAAAGAATTGCTATGGATAAGAAGTTTTACTACTGTATCACTTAGTATTTATACTTGATGCGGATAGGGTTTTTTTTTTTGGAATTTCTTTGGAATGTTCATATGTTTGCACAATTATTGGGACTTTAATATACATACACATTGGTTTCATATAAACTTAGCGTATACACAGTTTGATGGCATTGTATATATGCTATTTTTAGGACTATTGTCGTTTGAGCACGTTGAATATGCATATTGGTTTTTATTTATTTCACTCTATGAGTAAGTTGGAAGTGACAAAACGCGACAGGGCGTGATGATGCGGCGACCGGAAGTGACGTTCACCAGAACTGGAAGTGATGCGACGGCGTCAGTGAACAGTAATCTGAAGGTGGTGAGAGCATCCACGGTCTTCTGTCATTCCAGGCTTATTCAGTAATATGATACTGGGCTTTTTACTACAGTTTGCTTGTGAGTAATGTCGATTTGGATTAATAAAGGATCTTGGTTTTAATACTACACCATTGGAGCGCCTCTCTGCTTTTTGTTTTACATGGTGATCATGAAAAAGGGGAATATCATGCTTGCATGATACAAGCATTGGAATGTATGGAATCCTTAATAGTTTGAATGCCTCCATGATGGTTGTACCCCATTTTTTTATAATCCGCTTATATTTGGAGAATTATTCTTTGAAGCCTGTTTTGCCAACCACGAAAGTGGGAGGCAACAACTATTGGCGAGTGCACATCCATGTGGGGGACACTTTGATGCATCTGGTTATTATTAGACAGCATGTGGTGGATTCCAAAGAAGGAGGAACAATTTATGTGGACTTTGGATTATTATATATAATTTCTGTACTCACAGTAAATCATTAATATAATTTTTTTGATTTATTCACATATTATTGTGTTATACTCACTATATCACCCTATCACTATTAACCTCCCTGGAGGTATTCCTGAGTGTAGCTCGGAGTAAAGTTTCAGCACCACAAGCGGTAACCCTGAGCTACACTCGGGAATACCTTGCACGGAGCGTTGCTCCGGGATCCCTTCTGCACTTACCTTGTCCTGCGCTCCCGCAATGCCCCCCCTGCAGCGTCCCCGGCAATGTCCTCCGGCCGATGCCCTTCGGCAATGTCCTCCGGAACGTCGCAGGGTTCCATTCCCTGCGACGTCAGGATGTATGGGGACAGAACCGGGAAATTTAAAATGGTCGAAAAAGTGACATTCACTAAACACACTAAAATCACATAGTAAAACATTACTGTATCAAACCATTTCACATACATTTTGTCCCTAGTGCTTTGTCCTGTGCCCTGCCTGCATTTTTACCGTTCTTTCTGCCTGGAAACTGAGAAACGTCCATGGCGTCCAAAAAGCGTCCCTTTAGGTCAAAAGCGGTTTTAGACCAGCTAGAGAACAGCGATAGTAAATTAGAACTACTTGCAGAATTGAGTGATAATGATTCGTGGGGAAATTCGTTATCAGACACTGAAAACGATTTTGCGATTTTGCTCAGTGATGTGCAAACTTATTTCAAATTTCAGTGTTTTTGGTTTGATTATATTATTGAATTAAATTTATTGTTATATTATTATTTTTTATGATTATTTATTAAATTATAATTTATGATTTCATGTTTCAAATTTTAACAAACCCGGGATGTTTACTAGACTCTTGTTCGGACAGATTTCAGTGAGTTATTCCTAAAAATTACAGGCCTACAATAAAATAACTACATATTTCCATGCAAAAAAAGTACCGCTTTGAGCACAGAAATATTGACATAATCAGACCGCTAGGGAGGCTACTTTAGTGCCACTATAACACTTTATGTGTTGTTTTATTCACTCATTTATTACGGTTTGTTTAAAGTGGCAGCAGTTTTTTGATTAATATATATATTTATTGAATATATTAGATACACTAAGCACAATTTAATAGGTGTCGATAAATATCACATACACATTTATTTAATACACTTATCTAATACATTTGATTTGTTTTTATTTATGATTGAGTCACTGGGGAGGAGGGATAGAATTGTCAGCCCATAGGACCTTGAAGTATATGCACATTTGTAGGGACTCTTTATGCAGTAGGGTGTTTATTTATTTATCCACAACATTTTCAGTAGAGGCAGTGCAGCCATTTTTATGTTTGTAGACACTGCTGTGTCACCCATTTTACAGAGCTTGCCTTCTGCTTTACAGAAGTGCTGAGAGGAGGAGTTTCAGGAGGTGGAGTCAGTACAGGAAATACTGATTGCAGGTAGCAACGTACCATGGGATATGTAGTCCTTAGAAATTTAATGTAAACAGCAGAGGAGAAGCTGCAATGCATGCAGGGAATACAGAAAGGTGTTGAAAGAGAAGATCAACAGAGAGGCAGCATCACTGGCAGCACTCACAGCATGAAAGGAAAATTGTCAAGTAAGGCTCGTACACATGGGCTGAAAAATGTCCGAAAATGGTAAGGTTGGCTGGAATGAGCCAACGTTTGGCCTGCGTGTACAGCTCCCTGTCTGACAGAAGCAGGCCTTACAGCCAGCTTTTGTCAAACGAGCATGTTGGAAAACCAGCATTCAATCAGTGCAGGCAGCCAATAGCCAATCACTGATCAGTGTGTTCTGGCGGGTGGGGGCTGTCAGAACACAAGAGCTCAGTTCGGGAGATTGCCGCACTAACATTGCTTAGTCTATATGGCAACCTCTCAGTTTTTTTTCATTCTGCCCTCTGAGTTTAACGAAAAAAAAAAAAAAACTTTACACTTGTACCCAGTTTAAGCTTAAATTGGATTGTAATTACTATGAAAATACCTCAATTTGTATGGGATGTTACTGCAAATATATATTGTTAATACTGTTAATAATTGTAAAATATTGTTAACATTCACCTTATAGTATTTTTGTAGTAATATACATATTTTAGGGTTGTAGCTAAATATCAGAAAATACATCAATGCTATAATATAATGGATTTTCAAAAAGAAATATTGTTTGTTTTGCTATTACAAATTTGATATTATAAATTTCACATCTTTTTATGTGTATTTTCTAAATCTACTATAACCAGCACTGAATAATATTTGGATAGATTATGCATACCTTTTCTCCTGGGACTGGCCTGGGAGTCAGTGTGAATGCAAACAGAGGCTTTTCTACTTGGAGTTCTTTAGAAGAGGACGATTTTTTAATAGTTTTCTTCTTTAGTTTCTTTTTAGGTGCCGGCATTTCTGTTGTCATATACAAACTTTTCTACACACACATAGACTGCACTGTTTGTTTGCATTTCTATTGGCAACCAGGAGGGAAAGGAAGAGACAACTGTAAGGTTACTAATTATCCACTAGATGGCAGGCACACATTGGAGGTTTCAGCTTTCTATACTTTTAACATAAATGTGTGCGCTTCAATAATTAGTTTTTGCTCCATAAGACGCGCCTAGGTTTTAGAGGAGAAAAACAAGAAAAAAATATTCTGAACCAATGGGCTGCAGACATATTACAGGAAATGACCAAAGACTGCGGACACAGTACAGGAGATGACCAGAGACTGCGGACATAGTACAGGAGATGACCAGAGACTGCGGACATAGTACAGGAGATGACCAGAGACTCGGGACATAGTACAAGAGATGACCAGAGACTGCGTACACAGTACAGGAGATGACCAGAGACTGCGGACATAGTACAGATGACCAGAGACTGCGGACACAGAACAGGAGATGACCAGAGACTGCGGACACAGTACAGATGACCAGAGACTGCGGACACAGGACAGGAGATGACCAGAGACTGCGGACACAGGACAGGAGATGACCAGAGACTGCGGACATAGTACAGGACAGAGACTCGGGACATAGTACAAGAGATGACCAGAGACTGCGTACACAGTACAGGAGATGACCAGAGACTGCGGACATAGTACAGATGACCAGAGACTGCGGACACAGAACAGGAGATGACCAGAGACTGCGGACACAGTACAGTGACCAGAGACTGCGGACACAGGACAGAGATGACCAGAGACTGCGGACACAGGACAGGAGATGACCAGAGACTGCGGACACAGGACAGGAGATGACCAGAGACTGCAGACACAGGATAGGCGATGACAGAGACTGCAGACACAGGACAGGAGATGACCAGAGACTGCAGAGTAGTACAGGAGATGACCAGAGACTGCGGACACAGTACAGGAGATGACCAGAGACTGCGGACAGTACAGGAGATGACCAGAGACTGCCGACACAGTACAGGAGATGACCAGAGACTGCGGACGTAGTACAGGAGATGACCAGAGACTGCGGACATAGTACAGGAGATGACCAGAGACTGCGGACATAGTACAGGAGATGACCAGAGACTGCGGACATAGTACAGAGATGACCAGAGACTGCAAGGACACAGACTGCGTACAGTACAGGAGATGACCAGAGACTGCGGACATAGTACAGAGACCAGAGACTGCGGACACAGAACAGGAGATGACCAGAGACTGCGGACACAGGACAGGAGATGACCAGAGACTGCGGACACAGGACAGGAGATGACCAGAGACTGCGGACACAGGACAGGAGATGACCAGAGACTGCAGACACAGGATAGGTGATGACCAGAGACTGCAGACACAGGACAGGAGATGACCAGAGACTGCGGACGTAGTACAGGAGATGACCAGAGACTGCGGACACAGTACAGGAGATGACCAGAGACTGCGGACGTAGTACAGGAGATGACCAGAGACTGCCGACACAGTACAGGAGATGACCAGAGACTGCGGACGTAGTACAGGAGATGACCAGAGACTGCGGACACAGTACAGGAGATGACCAGAGACTGCGGACGTAGTACAGGAGATGACCAGAGACTGCGGACACAGTACAGGAGACGACCAGAGACTGCGGACGTAGTACAGGAGACGACCAGAGACTGCGGACGTAGTACAGGAGACGACCAGAGACTGCGGACGTAGTACAGGAGATGACCAGAGACTGCAGACACAGTACAGGGGATGACCAGAGACTGCGGATATAGTACAGGGGATGTCCAGAGACTGCGGACACAGTAGAGATGACCAGAGACTGCAGACAGTACAAGAGATGACCAGAGACTGCAGACAGTACAGGGGATGACCAGAGACTGCGGGCACAGTACAGGGGATGACCAAGACACTGCAGACAGTACAGGAGATGACCAGAGACTGTGGACACAGTACAGGGGATGACCAAGAGACTGCAGACATACTACAGGAGATGACAGGGACTGCAGACATAGTACAGGAGATGACCAGACTGCGGACACAGTACAGGAGACCAGAGACTGCGGACACAGTACAGGAGATGACCAGAAACTGCAGACAGTACAGGGGATGACCAAGAGACTGAAGACAGTACAGGAGATGACCAGAGACTGTGGACCTTTGGGGAGGGAGGGGGAGCGGGTACCTGAATTTGACAGGTACCTGCTCTTACGTCCGTGAAGTCGTCCAGCGAATATGGAGAGGCCGGTCCGGTATTTCCACCTCCGACACCCTGTCAGAATACTGGGCCGCACCTCTCAGCTCGTCTCTGCAGCAGGACCTTACCTGTTCCTCGGTCCAGCGCTGTACAGTCTTCCCGTGCCGGCATCTTTAGTGTGGGCACCCGGCTGTGACAGCCGGGTGCCCACTGCGCATGCACGAGAAGCACTGCGCTTTGTGAATGGCCCGGCGTCTTCTGGGACACATGACAGGTCCCAGAAGATTCCCGGCCCTTCACAAAGCACAGTGCTTCTTGCACATGCGCAGTGGGCACCCGGCCTCTCCATATTCGCTCCATAAGACCCACTGACATTTCTCCCCCTTTTTTGAGGGAAAAAAGTGCGTCTTATGGATCGAAAAATACGGTATGTAAGCAATCTTACTGTATACTGATATATTGTATATATATGTACACACACACACACTTCCATAAGACACACACACACACACACACACACACACACACACACACACACACACACACACACACACACACACACACACACACACACACACACACACACACACACACACACACACACACACATATATATATTGCTATTATTTATTTATTTAAGTGCTTTTATAGCACTGTCAATTTACACAGTGCTTTATACACATGTATTGTACATTCACATCAGTCATTAACCCTCAAGGGGCGTACAATCTAAGGTCCCTAACTCACATTCATACATACACATACTAGGGCCAATTTAGACAGGAGCCAAGTAACCATTTTCCTGCCGCCCTATAGCAGATATACTGCTACAGGGTGTCAGGGAAGCGCAAAATCATGTTTGCATTCCCAGATAGGGGGCGCGCGTGTGCGCGCATGCCTTACCAGCGCCGCCATTCGCTGTCAATTACTGGGTCCCGCCCAGTGATTATATGTCTGGTTATTACCAAGCATCTCCGATGGGTAGGAGGACTGTTTTGTTTTTAACAGTCCTCCTTCCTGTCAGCTTGGATACACTTGCACAGCACAGCCATCCAGAGCAGTGTGATTACAGTGAAGCACACAGACATCGCCCCCCCAGTAAAACACTCCCTGCACACAGTTAACCCTTTGATCGTCCCTTATGTTAACCCCTTCCTGCCCAGTGCCATTAGTACAGTGTCAGTGCTTTTTTTTAGCACTGATCACTGTATTGGTGTTCCTGGGGATGTCAGTGACACCAAGTCAGTTCCCCTGAGTGTCAGAATTCCCACTATAAGTCGCTGATCGCCGCCATTACAAGTAAAAAGAAACAAAAAAATCAGTATCTATACCGCCATTTTTAAACACTATAACTTTCACATAAACCAATTAATTTACACGTATTGGAATTTATTTTTGCAAAGACATGTAGCAGAATACATTTTGGTGTAAATTTATGAAGAAATTTGATTTTTTACATTTTTTACTGGACATCTTTACAACAAAAAGTGAAAAAATATTGTTTGTTTCTCAAAATTGTCGGTCTTTTTTTATAGCACAAAAAATTAAAGACGTACAGGCAATCAAATACCAGCGAAAGAAAGCTCAATTAGTGGGGAAAAAAAAAAATATACCGTATTTGCCGGCGTATAAGACGACTGGGCGTATAAGACGACCCCCCTACTTTTCCTGCTAAAATGTAGTGTTTGGGCTATACTCGCCGTATAAGACTACCCCTCTTCCAGTGCACACCAGTGGGAGGAATAGTGCCCCATCATCGGTATCAGTGGGGGAATAGTGCCCCATCATTGGTATCAGTGGGGGGAATAGTGTCCCATCATTAGTATCAGTGGGGGGAAATGGTGCCCCATCATTGGTGTCAGTAGGAGGAATAGTGTCCCAACATTGGTGTCAGTGGGAGGAATGGTGTCCCATCATTGGTGTCAGTGGGGGGTGGAATAGTGCCCCATCGTTGGTGTCAGTGGGGGTGGAATAGTGCCCCATCGTTGGTGTCAGTGGGGGGGGGAATAGTGCCCCATCGTTGGTGTCAGTGGGGGGGAGGAATAGTGCCCCATCATTGGTGTCAGTGGGGGTGGAATAGTGCCCCATCATTGGTGTCAGTGGGGGGTGGAATAGTGCCCCATCGTTGGTGTCAGTGGGGGGGGGAATAGTGCCCCATCGTTGGTGTCAGTGGGGGGGAGGAATAGTGCCCCATCGTTGGTGTCAGTGGGAGGAATAGTGCCCCATCATAGGTATCAGCGGGAGGAATAGTGCCCCATCATTGGTATCAGTGACACCAATGATGGGGCACTATTCCTCCCACTGACACTTGCTGACTCTGTTCTCGTATGGTGCTGCTGCAGCCAGCATATGTGGTTGCAGCAGCACCTCTACACTGACCACTTACCTGCTGGTCCTGCACTCGATTTTCGCGCGGCCCGCTCGGCTCCACCCTCTCGCCGGTGATTGGCCGCCTGTGTGCCTTTCCTGAGCTACAGTTCTGGCGGCCAATCGCTGGTGAGGAGGCGGAGCCGAGCAGCCGCGCGAACATCCAGTGGCCGAACTGAAGGCGCAGCCGCGCTTCCTGGACCGGATCGTCGTGGGACCGGAACCAGGTAAGAAATAGCCCCTGCCCACCCCTGTACTTAGTGTCCCTTCCGTTAGGGGAAGGGGGGGGGGGGGCGGCGGCGGCACCGCGCCGCCCCCCTAAAAAGTGTCATGTCATGTTATACCGGCGTAT